GATTGTACTTACAAGCCTCACTGAAACAATGAGATTCATGATGAATGTTAGTATTAAAAAGTTATTATTTCTTTGATTATGTTCTAAGAATAGACTGTTTTGAGGATGTTTCACACTTAACATCGATTTTTGTTTCAAAAATCATTGAGACAGCATTTGTCAGGGATATGTTAGTTTGCGTTGCTTTTGTTAAAATACAATATAATTGTTTGGCATCATAAAGTGTTAAGGAAATACTGGTTTTTGCTTTGGTCACATCGGTAAGATACTTCAATTTCTTTGATTCTGAAAAGGTAATTTATTCTGTATTTCAAGAAAAGTAGAAACCACCGAAACCATTATCTATTACATTCAATATTTCTGTAGTTTGGTTTGTAAGGGTTAGTTATGTTTTTACGAGTTGATCATGGAATGATATCAGTTAGCACTGGAGTACCGGACAGCTGTTTCATCCTAGTTTGGGAATCATCGGCAGTATGCATCCACTGGGATTCGAACCCAGGACCTTCCGGCTACAAGGCAAGGTCGTATACCACTCAGCCACTGGGTTCGAATCCCAGTGGATGCATACTGCCAATGATTCCCAAACTAGGATGAAACAGCTGTCCAGTACTCCAGTGCTGGTTTTCAATGGTTCTCTAACTGATATCAATCCGTGATCAACTCGCAAAAACATTTAATATTCTCTATTCTAAAATGACTAAAAATCACTGCACGTTGGACAAAAAATTATTCAATGAGTCCTGTTTTTAAATTTGTTTTCATCTTTGCCAAAGAAAATAACTAACTGAGTTTTGACCTCCATGGGAAACAAATCGATGTGGAACTTATTTTAAAAGGTATGTCATCAGGTAAAATGACACCTAGAGATTTTTGAACTATCACTCAACTGTCGGATATATATTCGTCATTCTTGATAGATTTTATTCAAGTTTGTCCACTCGAGAAATACGTAGATAGAAAACCATCTCCTGTAGGCAAATTGTTTCGTACCTGACTATGTACTAAAATAAGTCATTCTCACGGATATCCGATTTTTGTTATCTTAAACACAGAAAACAGTAAATATGATTAAATGAGATAAGTTGAAAACTGGAAAGGGAAAATACAGTGAGGTGATAGGTTTTATTCAGAGTATCGAGTATGATTCAAATACAAAATTAGGCAACTTCTTAAGTCGTAGGCTGCATTGAAAAAAAATGTAAAATCATATAATGTCTGTTAACATAGGTCGAAGTTAACTTCAGAAAAGTGCTTAAGATGCATCACCTACACGAATTTGCTAATAACACACTGAATATGTTCCTAGGATATCATAATACTGGTTTGCGATTCTTGAGTGTAATGCAAATTCAAATTTTCGCACCAATTCTTATATATTTATTCAGGATTCATTTTCGGTTAAACAAATAAACTATTGTTGAAATTTGATATTGTATTCAGCATTTCCATGGCTTCTTATTCTTTTTCTGTGATCATTATTTAACTTTATATACGTTTATCTTTTACTTTTAACACATGCGTATGTATGTGTTATGTTATTTACTAAAGTATAAACTGGACATAATTCATTGTTCATGAGGTATCGAAATAACTGCACAACTCTATAACAGTATTCACCAATGAGACAATTAGCACCTTTTAGACAGGATTACTATATTTAATGTGCTTAGATTACACCAAACTTGATCTCTGATGAAATCACTAGTTCGTGAGAAATAAAGGCAACCAGAAGATATTTGAAAACATAACAGATATCTTTTGATTTCAGGATTTCATCATGAGCTGACATTAGTTAGAGAACCATTGGAAAACCTGGGAGTACTGGACAGCTGTTTCGTCCTAGTTTGGGACTCTTCAACAGTATGCACACACCGGAGTTCGAACCCTTACGACCTTCTGGTTACAAGGCAAGCGTGCTCGTAGACCATTAAGCCACTGGGACTCGATCCAATGGCCCACGAATTCTAACTTCTGCCAATTCACGACATAGCGCGACCACCAGCCAATGTCTTCTTCAATGAGAATTTATCCTCACGCGTGACATGCTGTACCCTACTGTTCACGACTTACCAACAGAACCCCAGCTAAATATCTACCTGAATAGGGCCAGTCTTCGGTGAGCATCTCATCGATATTCAAGTATTGGTTTATAAGGATTTGATTGGTTGGTTGGAGGATTTCATCATGAACTGACATCGGTTAGAGAACCATTAGAAAACTTGGGAAGTAAAGGGGCGAGTCGGCGGGAGACCGAACCCCAGACGAACCGCATGGTTGGTGACCATTCTACTACCGTGCCACCGACATCAAGTAAAGGAGTGCGTACTGTGAACAGTCCCAAACTAGGACGAAATAGCTGTCTAGTAACCCCTGAAGGTTTTCCAATGGTTCTCTAACTTTGGAGCAGAAATTCAAATTTATAGAAGGGAATCATTGTATGAGGTCCTCTAACCGATGTCAACTCACAATGAAATCCTGTAACCAATCAATCAAATCCCTACAAACCAATACTTGAAAACATTTTTTTATTGTGCTGTTTCTCAGCACTGTTAGAAGGATATGATAATTATTACTCATTTAAAAAAATAGTCATATAACAGATTATTTGAATAATCTAATTGTTATTAATCTGATTTCATACCATTAAGAGTGCACTTTTAAGAAATCTAATTACTTGTAAATACATTCTTTCCAATGTAATCATATTATCAAAGACAATTTTTTTCAAGTGTTGGTTTGTAGGGATTTGATTTGGTTACAGGACTTCATCAAGAGCTGACATTAGTTAGAGAACCATTGGAAATCCTGAGAATACTGGACAGCTGTTTCGTCCTAGTTTTGGACTCTTCATCAGTACTCACCCACCGGATTCGAACCCAGGACCTTCTTAACAGGATTCTTTATTTCTTACTGGCTGAATCCAATAAATGGATATATATATATATATATATATATACATATACAAGTTCTATGGTATTTTTAATAATAATAATAATTCGCTTTATTCCAGAAACAATACTAGTGGTACAGTGTGGAATTTTCAGCACTTATCTACAATGTTGCATCTAATTTTATGAAACATTTAAAAAGGAGTATTTCAAAAAATAAATATAAAAAACAACAACAAAAACAAAAACACAAAATAGCAAAGAAAAAAAAAAGAATGGAAAATAAACAACATAATAAATAATATCTCAGTATTTGGTAGTGGAAGCTATGATATGTTTATGCGTGGTGAACAGTAAAACAATATCATAGAAGAAGTTATGAAATCATATTAAGAATATTTATCGTATGATCAGTTAAATTGATTGAACAACACTAAACAATCATAAAATAAATATTTCAGGGTTTTTTTATTGTCAGCTCTAATGCGGTGTTTGTAGTGGTAGTGTGAGTAATCCTGCATAATACAAAATTTTAAGATGGTGATAACGGCGTTCACAACCAAGATTGTCAGTTAATATTGCCGAAAAAAAAACAACCACAAAACTAATATTACATGAAATTTAGAGACAGGACAACTTTGTAATACTCATAGTGCTAATATAGTCGGAACCAGTAGATACGCAAAAGAAGGAATAGAGTAAAGTGTAAAAAACGGAAGCCAATGTTAGCAATTTAGGTAGCTAAGTATGTTTAAGAAGGAGTTCAGTACAGAATACAAATAAGAGAGAAATAAAAGAGCCAAAATTATGTTATTAACAATAAAGCAAGCCATTGGTTTCGCACTTAACATTGTCCCTGTCACTTAGAACACGAGGCAAATATGATATCGTTGAGTTCCTATACTTGGTTGTACGAGCATATATTATTTTGTACTGATTTCTGGTTCTACCTGATGAGATACAAGGAGAGATACAGAGCTTATATAACTAATCTCTGGAAATCTTTACTTACTTTAAAAAAGGGGAAACGGAGAGGAGTTTCACTTTTATAGTTTCTAAAAATGGTTTAAATTTGAAATTCTCGTCTGTCACTTCTTTATTTGATTTTCTGTCACAACTGTTGTAGCTTGCCTTGAGTTCTCAGTAGTTCGCCGGTGAATACTATTTAGATATGATGTCTAACTTCAGGAACACGATCTTGGCTAATAGAAAACGTTGTGTTGGCTTAACACAGTGTGATTAAGATCATTTTATTATAATTCCTAGAAAAACTAATAGCCGTCATATCATTATTATCCATGATTCTCATTAGGAATGACGATGATTTTGTTAATATATATATATATATATATATATTAACGTATAACATGTGTTCCGATATTTTCTGGGCGGTCGCTTTAAAATTTTCACAGGAAGACATTCATCTCACGCGACGATAAACTAAACTGCTTGAAACATTTTTTTAGAAGCGGGAAAGAGTAGTTACACTTTAGTTCTGAGAAAGTTGAAAAAAGTGGTTTCATGTGTTTTGAATTAATATCAAGTGAATTAATTATTAGCTGATTGTTTTTAAACTGGTGGCAACTTTTAGAACTGAGTTTTAATTGACCTATTTTTCTGTAGAGGAAAATAAAGGACAACGAAGCACAGATTTCTTTATATTGAGGAATTCATCTTCAGAGACTAAAGCCATATTTGTGTTTACTATGTTTGTGTCTTTTACTGAAAAATAAGGAAGCGGTGACTCAAATGATGCAGCTACCCAGAATGGATTTCTTAAGATTGAACAAAACTGAGCACTGAACAACACCACAAGGAAAGAAGGGAAATTGATTAAATTAATAATTGTGTATAGGTAAGAAGCAAGTTGACTGAGTCTTCACTTGATAATGGTTTTGAAGTAACACAAAAGGATAAAATTACAGTGAGAACGCACCTTCACAGAGTATATAACATGCCTATCCTAATTTTATAGGCTACTATTGCAGCTATTTCTTTTTAACCAATTCTAATCGTCGTTTGTAATAGGTGATCTCAGTTACTGCGTCCGACTACTTATTAGTAGTACATTTAACTAGCTAAAATTTCTTTCTTTTTTATTCGTTTTAGGTATGGATAGAAGGAAGATTAGGAAACGAATATACTGATCATTCAAAATTACGGAATAAAACCGTCGACTATATACGTGCAACCTATCAACGAAATAAAAAATAACTGAAATAAAGTATCAATTACTAAGCAACTTTTTGGGTTCTGTCTTGAATAATTTCATTTAAAGTATATAACATGATAAAAGTAGCAAAATATAAATAATTTCTCGAAGAATTATTGCTATTTAGTTGGTGTTCTAGTAATCAGAAGTTAGACTCAATTCAAAATATCTGCTTTCTTTCAGTCTATTTCGGTTCCAGGTTTGATATGTAATAAAGTAATAAACTTATTTAGTACATAAACATTCCAATCAAGCATCGACATTTTGTGTTCCCACTGACCTTCACATAAATTCTATTTAAAGTTTGTATACTCCTCGTAAGCCTACATTGTTAGCTTATTGGAAATGCCTGTAAGGAAAATAGAAATAAAGAATAAAGACGTTCAGCAAAAATATTTTAGATGGCGAAATTGACTAATTTACTACAAATTTAAAATCTAAATTTCACACACTTTCGTTAACGCTATTAGATGGTTATAATTCTACTAAAGTTAACATAGTAATAACAACTGGCGCCGATAGAAGACCGTAGTGTTACTGAAACAGTATAAAAAGGTTAAACTTCAAAGTGTGAAAAACACTCATATGACATAGATTAGAAAGATCGTGGGGAACACCCATAAGGACATTAGAAAGGAGAAAACATGAAGTTCAGTAGTGCTATCTTTTCGGCGATTTCATTTTCAAAAGCTGTACAATCGCATTTAAATACATAATTTTACATGGATACAATTCTTGTTCGACTCCACATATTTACGACGGCGAATAAAGGGTGACAATTTTTTTCAACTAGATCTGGTTTACGAGAGGCTTAGAAGCAAAATTAACACAAGATTAGAACCGATAACAAGTGTGTAAAAAACTGGCGTGGAATTTTGAGACTTCATTAAATAGTCTTACGTAATCTAGGAATATCAAGCGATGACGTGTACTCGGGATTGGTTATTAGTAAGACTGCAAGCCCCTGGAAGCAGGAAGATTGTTTATTTGAGTAAGACTCAGAATATGTTTAAAGTGTTTCTTAAAGTATAAAAAAGCGAATGAAAATAAATTACAACCTTTTAGCGCATGTGAAATGCAAATTTAAGGCGACAGTAACAAATGGATCGGATGAATCACCTATCTGCGAATAGTTCAAGCTTTACCTTGTGTATAACAAAAGATTAAGCTGTTGGCAGAAGATTCAGATGGAAAACCTTCAAACGGCTTGACCTCTTCGTATAAAGCATTTCGAAACATTTTTCCATTAAAGTAGAATGATATGGATACTCCAAGAATAGAACTACTGGTTAGCCTAATTTCTCCTATCAACAACCGTGTTGAGTGCGTGTCGACAACATTCTATATTCAGGAAAAATTCCCATTCGAACATTAATAGACAGAAGACCAGCGAAGAGTCTCTTTCCGGCGAATTCATTTTCATAACTGTACAATCGCAAATATATATGGTTGTTTTGTATATGTGTATACATTAAATTTGTCAAACGAAAATACAATTCAAGTGTTGGTTTGTAGGGATTTGATTGGTTTCAGGATTTCATCATGAGCTGACATTAGTTAGCGAACCATTGGAAAACCTGGGAGTACTGGACAGCTGTTTCGTCCTAGTTTGGAACTCTTCATCAGTACTCACCCACCGGGATTCGAACCCAGGACCTTCTGGTTACAAGGCGAGCTCGTATACCATTAAGCCATTGGGACCCGATCCAATGGTCCTTCAATTCTAACTGCCAATTCACAACATAGCGCGACCGCTAGCCAATGTCTTCGGCGAGTATTTGTCCTCACACCCGACCTGCTGCACCTTACTGGTCACGACTTCCCACTGGAACCCAGGTAACTACCTACCTGAAAATACAATTAGTAAGTTCAGATGAACTGGATGTTGATATAAGAGGATAGTAACAAAAGTGATGAGCTGTCATCAATGATTGTTAAATAAGAGTTACGTGATGGCGTGAATAGTTTGATGAAAGAATTGTGCTCAGGGCATACATGGAAACAAAATAATATATGGAATTGCACAACGGTTTTAAGTAGTTAGAAAAATAAGCATACAAACAAAAGTTAAGTCAAATCAACGGAGTTGTTACCGTGAGAGTAGAAGTGGTTGAATAATTTTCTCTTGTATGCACAGTTCTGGTTCCTCCAAATGAATAGCTAGGGCTTCTGCGATGCAAAGAAGACGGAATCGTACTGTCTTTGAAAGGCTGTTCTTCACTTTGTAGATTACTTTGAAGGAGACGTTTGATGAGATGAAATAACCATTGTTGACGAGATGCTCGATTATTGAACTCCTTATACGGCCATTACTTTCTTTCTGCGGTCAAGCTGGATAGTGTTCCTAGACCCTTTTGACGGGATGCGCGTTGAACGACCAATGTACCTAGCTCTACAGCAACAGGTGAACTGATATCTACACATAGAAGTGGTCAGGTGCGGGATCTTGTCCTTTGGTCTTCTGTAGATCAGCAGACGACTGGAGAACACTACTCTCAATGTAGTCGCAGGGAAAAATCCTCTTAAAGAGGTAGAAATTTTCTTTCTAAGGACGTCACCGAGTAGGTCTCCTTTGAAGTCGAGGTTCATATAAAGTATCTTTTTTTGGCAGGGATGGTGTCTCTTGCTTATGGATTTTTTGTTTGAGGTTTTTGTCTACGAATCTTGATGGGTAACCGTTTTTTATGAAGATTTCTTTCAGCAAGTTTAGTTCTTCTTCCATGGCATCAGAGCTTTAAATGCGTCTGACGCGAGTGACAAGAGATCTAATTAGGTTTCTTTTCCGACCGATTGGTACCCAACTGTAGAAGCTTGTCAGTTAGCCGTTCCATGTGGGTTTCCTATAGATGGACCTTCTTAAAGTTCCGTTAGCTCTCCTTGTAAGTTCAACATCAAGAATAGGGATTTTAGATGATTTTTCAATTTCTAGAGTGAACTTTGTGGCTGGATGGCATTTGTTGAATATTTGCAGTAACTGATTGAGATCGTGACCGTCATCACAGATAATAAAGATGTGGTCCACATATCTAGCATACAATTGGAAATTTTCAATAGTTGATTTGAGTGGGCCCTTCTCGAGGCTTGCCATGAAGCAGTCTGCTAGTAATGGGCCCAATGGAGATCCTATTTTGTTGTCTGTAAATAACATAATATTATTTCAGCTCCTCAATTATCTTCGAATATTGAGATTGCAACTAACTCCTTTGATACTTTTGTCTTCCGAGGATTATCAGTTTTATTTTTTAAAATTTTGTTAATGAATCCCAATGAATAACTGTTCTGAACCACTGTTTCGGAAGAACTTCAATTCCTCATTTAATTATTCAGCCGTGAATATGCGATAGATTGTTGTGAAAGCAGATTTGATAAGGTTTCTTTTATCATATATTGGAGCTTACTTACTTAATTATTCAAACTTTTGAAGATGAGGTAAAATAACTCAGGTGCTAAGGCAGCTGATAAACTTGAAATTGTGGTTACAAAACATAGGGAGATAATTCTCACCTTTAGTGTGTTTAGGAGATAGAATGAAGAAGAATTTGAATCACTAGTTGTGAAAAAAGAGAACAAAATCTTACAGTGAAGCTATATTTTTCAAGTCAGTCTTCAGTCAAACAACAGAAGTGATAAATCAACAAGCTTTTTTGATGTAAATTAATCTTGCTTTTCTTTTGCCTTTTTCGGTGCATTATATATATCAGACATCTTAGGAATATCTTTTCTCTTTAATACAACTATTTTGACTTTAGGCTAAATTTATTTCTCATACAGCTCCAATTTTAATTTGGGTGTTTGCCTACGCAAATATTGGAAACTGACTTAGCCCAGTCTCTATCCCATGAAATATAAAAATTTAAATCTTAATTATACTGGCTGAACCTTATAATTCTACACGTTAACATAATATATGCATAATACCGTTCCGGGGATTATATATCAATAAGATTCCCTCCTAACTGTTTAAATAATGCCTTGGTTTTTGTAAACGAATGTAACATGCATTAATATAAAGATGAAACTTGGAAATAAGCACCAGTTGGCATGATTCAACCAGATGTGTGTTTTAATTGACTTAATGTGGCATTTACTGTCTCCATATGCAAACACTGGGATTCAGTGTGTCAGACAAAAAAAAAACACTTTTCGTGTTACTTCTAATTACTGCTTGCTAGACGCAAAATAAATTTCCTTAACAGTACAAAGCTTTCCTGTTTATGTTTTTTTCATCCAATTGGCAGATACTAAAAAATAACTGATTGGGAAATGAGTGTGGTCACTTTCGGTAGACTAATACAGAGTCATTACGGTTAGAGTGATCACTGAAAGGTAAGCCAATCTGTAAAACTAGAAATCGTCCATAGTATCTTCAGGCAAAATGGAAAAGGAGAAAAATGCAAAGTTTGCTCTCTTTGGGCCTAAGATTCCTCAACAGTAAAAGCCGGTAATTTTCATGGTTTGATTTTGAAAAACATAATTTTGCGTGGTAAACATATTCTTGTTCAGATGCTGGTACTAAACGTTTTCCTACAGAATTTCTAAAATTTGACAGTACAGTGCAATCGATCAATAGTTGATCCTGCAAAACACAATCTCAGTCTCCACAGAATTTAACCTTATTTGTGGAAATTTCAGATCACCTATTTCTACGTCAGTCAGCAATAAGTACTTATCGTTTATTCTGCAGGTTCGTCATAAATCCACTCATGGCCAACATTACATGAGAAATCTCAATATAATAAATTGCATAGGTAAAATATATATTCATCTGTCCTGAATTCAGGTTAATGTACAAACCTGTATATTAATAGATTTGCTGCATTTCACGGAATGTGATAACAAAACAAAGTATTTCTCTTGATTGTTTACGCATGAGTGGAATTATTAAGAAAGTTTAAAAAAATTAAAGT